ACACAACTTCTTGTCATCAGGCAATGCTTTGAGAATCCCCACCATCAATCTAGGTGTGGAAACCTGGCAGTGGGCGGGACTGTTAATGGATGGCCCTCATTTTTTAATCCCTGATTGCATTAAGGAATGATTGATTTGTCTGTTTTTTTTTTTTTTTTTGTCCATTACTCATCTGTAAGAGGTAATAATTGGTATATTCAAAGTTACAGCTCATGTTGGGCATTGCTGTACTTCCTAAACATGGACACACATTGATTGTGTGGGTGTATTTGGTGTACCCGAGGTCGCGGGGTTTCTCTCTAGACAAACACCGGTTTCAAAAATACCTCCAGGTTGGCTCGGCCCCACGTTTATTTCTTTATTGTTATTAATATACATATATATTTTTCACTAATGGGTGTATATTTCAGATCACTGTTCCACTTTTGCCGCCTCTGCTGATAGCCTCCTTGGGTTACCATGGCAACACACAGGTAAAGTGGGGAGAAGGAGTGCTCAGTTCGCCCGTTTCTAAAACTGTTGACCTATAAAAAAAAAAACGAACACCCACCGATGAGAGGAAGCTGGAGAAATTATGTCCCAGTGATCAGTGACGGCACAGAGAGAGAAATATCTAATAATGACTGCACATTTGAATTTTTTTTTTTTAATAAATATTGCTTTTTGTATGTGTGTCTAATTGGTTTCTCCGCTCCTTTCAGCCGAGGCAGCTGATACGAACCTGTCTCGTGAAGTTTGTCCTCCGCCAACTATTCCTTTAGCTAAGGTATTTCTCCTCACTCTACTTCCTTCCTGACTGATCATGCTGTCCGTCACCCAGAGACGTCCCCTCTCTGTCCCCCTGCCTCTCCCCCGTTTGCCTTCATCTCCCATCATCCCCTTACTTCCCTCCCTGTGGGCTTCTGCTGCGTCTGATGTATGTGGAGAAGCTGACAGCTGTCTATTCCCTGTAGGCAGCCTTCAGAGATTCTGACCATATGGCAAGAATAGTGATTGGGCTCTGCTGGTCTCTTATTGTTTCCTCTTTTTTTTATTTTATTTCCAGCCTGTTATTTCTCTTGTTTTAGTTCCTTTCTTGCACAGGCTATCAAGTAACAAACTGTTAAGCCTGTTTCTGTGGGAATGTCTTTGCCCCCCTAACCAATATCTTCTCATGGACTGTTTTGTAAGAGTTATATGTTTAGGATCATTAAATAAATCTTTCATTAAAGGGAAAGAAGCTACCTAAACCAAACTGACCCTATGTGGAACAAGTAATTGCCTCCTTATCCTAAGGTTATTTGTCCATTCGGTACGGAGATAAGAACTTTTTGTTGGTTGGACATAAATTACAATATTATGGGAATGTGTCCCTTGATGGCGTCAGAACCAGATCTGCCCTCATTGAGAAAGATCTGACAAGTGGAAACCACAAAAATAAGTCACAGGAATGATTGGGCCTCATGTGACCATGATACCACCGGCCTGAAACTTCCAACCCACTACCAGAACGTAACAAGCAAATTGAAGAAATTAAAATGACAAGATCTCCAAATCGGTCATTTCAATCTCTTAAGATTTTGGCGGACAACTGAGAAGTTACACCAACATATCCTCTTTGTTATTTTTAAACCTTTTGAGCATTTTTATCGATGTACTTAGAAGTGCATCGTCGGTTTTAAACATTACCCACCAACTTATCTTCTTTTGAAACACCACTCTGTCACATCAAAGGAGGTTTGTGCATACCCGCTTCTTTTGGACTTTGAAGACCTAACAAGCAATAAAGCGGCAAGAAGCTACTTACTGCTGTGAACAGAAAAGCCAATGCCATGGAGATATTTTTTTTGTCTTTGTGTTAGATCTCTGCAACTCTTTATTTTTTATCACACACACAAGACTCCGACATTCCAACATGCTCATGCTGTGTCTCCTTACTTTAGAAATGTTTTTGTGAAGTGTAACAAAGCAGTCATGGTCTGAAACTAAAAGGAAAATGAATGTAAAGCAATGCAGTGTAAGTCTGATGTTGGTGAGAGCAGCTCGGTGTGGAACTGCGTGTTTGTGTGTTGAGATGATGGCGAGGAGCTGAATCTCACTGTATCTACCCACATTGATCTGCGAAGCTGTGTGACAACCGGAGGGGATGGAGACGGCACTGCTAGCATCGATGTCAACGCAAATGAGAATGTAATTAAATTCTAATGCTTAGCAGTGAGTGAACCTCAGTGAGAGGAGGATTCACTAAGAACAAAAAAGAGCCACACAGAGCAGAGCAGCTTGCTTTTTTATCAGATTGAAATTTTTCTCCATTCTTGTCTGCAAAATAGCTCAAGTTCAGTCGGACTCGGTTGAAAGTCTTTGTTACATTTTTGAAATTTCTCAGGATATTTTTCAAAGATTCTACTCATGTGGACTGAGAGCTAAACTTTGAGTAGGCCATTCTAGCATGTGAATATGTTTTGCTCTAAAGCATTCCATTGTTGCCCTGGTTGCATGTTTGGGCTTTTAGTCCTAGAGGGTGAACCACTTTCCTAGTCTCAACTCTTTTGCAGCCTCCCAGTATTGCCATCCATCTTTTACCAGTTATGATCAACTTCCCAGTCCCAGTTAGCCTGGTCTTTGCCTTCCACTCGATTCCCATCTCTCATCTGGGATTTGTCCAGCTGAAATTCAACTGGACCAGTCAGCGAACAGAAGGAGGAGTTAAAAACAATGATGTTGTTTTTCTGCACTCTTTTGACTTTGCTAAAAATCCAAGAGAATAACTTTAAGTATGGCTTACTATCCCCTTGTTTTAACATTATGTAGGTAACATTAGAGTCTGAGTCTGAGCCAGTGGCAGAGGCTGTCTCCACGCTGCGGAGAGTGGCGGCAAAACTCTGGTCACCTGCCTGCCTGAGCAGAAACTCTAACACTGACTTCCTTCTATGAGGCTAAGTATAGTTCCAGGGTTTCCATGCCGATTTAGAGTGATCCGTCCTTTATATGATGTCTGAAACAAAATGAGCATTTAAGCATTGATGCTGAAAATTGCTTCTCTACATGTAGCCTAAAGAAGACAGAGCTTCCCCTCCCTCCTCTGAGTGCATGTTACGGGTCTAGGTAGGTTTGCAGTTGTGCTGGATGAACATTGCTCTGAGACTCTGTGAGATTTCTGAATCTTGGGATTCTGTTTAATAACCAGACTGCTAGAAACTTCTCCACAACTTTCTTTGTTGCCTGCTGTGGTCCTTTATCTTTCTAATACAGTTTACTCTCTAATGTTCATGAATGAAACACTTCACAGTTTTTAGATATTTCTCAGAAAATGTTTTGTTTTCACTACTTTGTTTTTGGCAAATCACATCAAATAAATAAATGTGATTTGCCACCATTGGCTACAGTGTGGCAAGAAATTAATAAATATTATACGGAAACTAAAACATGAGTGATTTGTCTGCACTGTATGCTGTTGTTGTTTTTTAATATTCCAAAATGAATGGTGTCCTAAGGAAATCTGTGGCTAAAACTCTGGAGCTTTTCATTACAACAGACTGGGGACTTTAAACAAAACTTATAACAAGATCTTCCTGGTGATAACGAGTATGCGGTGAACTTTTTTTATGTGATGAGACCTTTGTTCTGAGAAAATGTCAGCTTGTAGCTTTCCAAATCCCACCTTAATATTGGAGGGCCAAAATTTCTAATCCAATAAAGCACTCCTTGTCCTCTTAGAATATGTCATTCGAGAATGTCATACAAATAATTAAGGTTTCCCAATCAAAGATTAAACAACCGGAACAAAGTTTTTGCTGTACATCAAATGATCAAACTATAAACATTGGACTGTCATGCTTTTGCTCCTTTTTATTTCTTCAGAGCATTAAAGCTGCAGTAACTTATAGAAAGATGGATCTTTGTTAAAACTGCCACTATTTTGTGACAGTATGAGACATCTGTTGCATAAAAATGTGACAAATGTTGCAATTTTGGTCCACAATTTTACCCAGTCCACCAGACTATCGAATGCAAAAACCACCAGAGTCAGAAAGAAAGTCACCAACTGGGGAAGAACATGTAACTCAGGTAAAAATCAAAATGGATTTACTAATTAAACCGTCTATTGAAGAGAAAGCTATGATTAATTTTAATGGTATTAGAATAAATGTGAGACAAAATAAAATCCCGGTTAGATAAAACGACCGTACTGATAACTGGAAAATATTTTAACCAAACTCAAAGCAGGCATATTGTCACTGCTATTTCATAAAGAACAATCTCTCTGACTGCTTTCATTCATTTAAAATAGTATTTAACAAAATTACCTTTTTTTCATTTCTTGATGAGGGCATTTTATGAAAAATTGGAATTTCAAGACAGTTCAGTAAAGTCTTTTGGCGACTTTTAAGGAGTCACCAAAGTCAAATATGAAACCACATCATTTTTAATAATTTGTGCAAAACAGCAACAGCTACTGATTTATGACCTGTGAATAATATACTGCTTCACATTCTAATTGAGGAATTCTGCAAGCCAACCTCCATGGTTGGTAAAGGTAAGCCTCGTCTTCATATGAAGAGACAAAATGAATTCAGATGCTCTGGACTCTGACTTTTGTTTCTGGACAATGCAAAATGCCATCTGAAGAGTAGAAAGTGCAATCTGTTCACATTTATATCCAGAATGAAAAAAAAATATTAAGGTTCCACCATTTATTAATTTTTGTTAATCTTTGTCAAAAAATATATTTTGGTGTATCACAAAAATAACACATCATAGAAGGCCAGAGAAAAGTACAGCATAATAGTCCAATATATCAACAGATGAAACGGTTTAATTTGGTTCAAGCATAAAAAAAATACAAGCTTCTAGTGAAGTGTTTTGGTAACCAACATAGATATGGAACAAAGACAAATGAGGGATTCATTAAAGTTTGAGTGACTGAACAATTCCATGTTCACATAATTTGTATTCAAAATAAATGAACAAAACACCCAAGCAGAAAAAAAATAAAAAAAGGTTTTCCACATGGGACTTACGACAGGGTCCTTTCCAGCCGTCCTCCTGTTGAGCCGATTATCTCTCCAAGTGTGCAGAACGTTTGGCCCAAAAAGTCCTGGGCATGAGGAAAAAGTATTAAAAAGAAAACTTACTTGTGTACATCAGCAGAAAGATGGTACCTTCATCTGCAAAAGCAAGCATACATCTCCCATTTTTCACATTTTGTCACATTGCAACTACAACTTCCTTTACTTAATTACTGAGACTTCAAATCATAGATCAACATAAACTCGCACAGAGTGGAACGTGCAAATTTGAGTTTCAAATCGAATTTTTTAAAAGTGATCCCAAAAAGATTTTCTAGTAAATTTTTGATTTTTCAAGCTCAGACAAAATTCCCTTGTTCTTTCTAAACCCTTTATGAGATGAATCTAAATATTTCTGAGTGTTTTGGCAGACATATACTCATCTTTTCCCCCCCCCACATCTACAATAATGAATAAGTGATGACCATTGTTGACACATTGTAAGGACGTTGAGAATCACCCCTTTGACACCATGGAGATATTCTAGAGATAAAAAGCTCAGTAGCAATTATGAACAAGTGTAAAATTGATGGGGATTGTTACGGAGATATTAATGCCATTAAAGTTCAATCTCATCGTTAGTGAAGGGCAATTTTAAATTGAACATTAACTTTACAGTTTAATTTCTCCACATACGCAGACATGCGTGCATTAACCCAACGATGTCAAGCTGCAGAATTTAGCTGCCTGTTGGAAGTTTTAGTAAATGTCATCAAAACAGGACAGAAAGGGTCAGTGAGGAGGAGATTTTTATGTTTACAATCTTGCCACAGTTGAAAAAATAAAAAAAGAGTATGGCAACATAACAAGTAGAGTCGATGTGGTGTAATAAAACACCGCACAGCATCAAGAGCTGAGCGCTGATATTTGCGTTGTGTAGGCTCGAGGTCTGCTGTAGGTGTGAGTCCCAGCGGCCTCTGTGAATGACCCGACGCGCATGATGTGCCGTAGTACACAAGTCTAGAAACCACAAAAGCCACTTTGAAGTGCAGTTCTGAAAGTTGCTTTTACCTGAGCCACTGAGAAAATGCAGACAGACAAAATGTGGTGCAACACAACAGGAGAAGCGTTCCGGGTGTCTGCGTTTGTCCACGATTAGACGGGTAAAATGAAAAAAATGGGAGAAAATTCAATATAAACCACAGTAAATGACTCACGTCACAAAATTACATGATGACAAATGAAAATGGAAATGAACAAAGTGCAATGAGTCATGACGTCAAAAATGTAAAGGCAAATGTGCTCACCTTCTGCTCCACAAAGAGAGTCATTTTGGAAGGAGAAAAGAGAAATAGGTAAACACACAAAGAAAGGGTCAAGGGGCATATCAGTGACATAATAAATTGAAATTAAATTCATAATGAATCCCTATCCGGTCTTATTCACTGCAAACAAACTTTAACAGAACATAATTCTATGAATAATAAGATCACTTCCCATGTCTTTTGACTTTAGGCTAGTTTCACATGCTGTACTCACGTGTTTGGATATGTTACAGCTTCTAGAATCCACATTGTACCTGCAAGCACAGATCAAATATGAGGACACTTTGAAGAAAACTGAGGACTATCAGAAGACTAAAAATTTGTGAATTATGGTATATTATGGTATATGGTATGTTGAAAGAGACATTTTCACATCTAAACCAAAATATTGCTACTTAAGGTTGATGTTTGGTAAATATCTTAGTTTCTGATAACATATGTTTGGTGTTTCCAGCAGGAAATTATACTTTTCTTTTTATTTCTTTCAGTCACATGTCAAGGATAAATGTCTCACAATGTAAAAAAAAAATTATCCATGGTAAATGAAAGAAATGGTTAAGTCATTTGGGAGCATGGCTAGTAAATGTCCAGTTCTACAGTATTCTTGTTTTCAGATCAGCACTGCTGTCAGTAGAGAGGATAATGGTGTTTTACACAAATTCATCAAAGTGAATGCAGACATATTACTCATTACAATCCACCTTCAAATCAACACAAAGCTTCATCTGTAGCTCCATTAAATGTATTTTTCCTACCACTTTTCATTTTTCCCAGTCTCTAAACATTTTGGTTCGTCTGGTCCCTTTAGGTGAGATTTTTGGTTGGATTTTGATGAAAATATCTTCAACATATAAAGAATCTGTTAGAAGTTAGGCTAAACCTACTTTACTAAGAACTGTGATGGCCTCCAGTTGCTATAGCCACAAATACAGGATTTTTTTAATTTGACGTATAGGACAAGAGTCTGAAGCAGAATCCTTGCATAAGTCTTGGATAACTGCAGGTTGTGGTTCCACAGAAATAAAGATGCTATAGGCTAATTTGTTAGCAAATGAAAAGCTTTGTGACACGACTCTATTACTTTCAACATACAAACTCTGTTTTCAACATTAAGACAAGGTCAGATGGCTGCTGCTATATAGATTACTTCAGCGTTAGTCATGACTCTCATCTGGACTGAATGCAAGCTAATTGTTGATTCTTAACTGCTACGTTTATATTCAGTCCAATGGAGAGCATTCGCTCTGTCCACCTTTCTTTCTCCATTGTGCAGACGCTGTTTTGTTTAGATGTAGGTTCATGTGCTATGCGGGTCATGGGTCTTATAAAATATGAGGTGATAACAGAGTAAAAAAGGTTTTCTTGTACAACAGTAAAAGTGTGTAACATAATTTGTTTGCTTTTATTTTGAGTTTGACGATTGAACACAGTGCCACATAGTGGATTTAAAACATATTCCTATCACTGCCAAATAACCTAACATATTATCTGTATTATATTACAGATAATATGATGTTATCTGCAGCATTCAATGTATTCTAGGAATTTGACACAAAGACTTAAACACAGAATTAAATAAAGGAGCCACAAAATTTTATAGAAATTTTAAAACTGTGCTGTGTAATATTGCACTTTTTGCTACTCTGCTCCTTACAGAGCAACCCTTTGGTTTGATCAGCAAGTTAACAGACATGTTATGTCATCATGTCTCTCCAAGAAGTGCTCCTTTAGTCTTACCACCATAACTTTTGAAAATTAAAAATCTAACCTAAATGTATCTTATTTGTGAGAAAGACATTTTGTAGTCTACTTTCTGCCAGCTGAGCTACTGTGAATAAAAAAAAAAAAAACATGTATTGGCCTTATGAGTATTAAAACCACTTTATGTAAGTACTGACAAAAGTGTTATTTTGATCACTTATCTTTGATTATGAGCTCAGAATCTTTAAAGTTGGAAGGTTGTCCAACATCAGCCTCATTTTTTGTGCCCTCCACAGATTTTCTATCAGATTTCAGCCAGGACCTTACCTGGTTCACTCGATAGCATTCATATGATTATTTATTAACATTATTATTATACCTTCATCTAGTTTTCGAGGTGAGAATTGTTTTTTTAAAAGGTGACAAGTAAATACTTACACATCAAACCTGAGATTCTGCTTCTCTTCAAAGAAGAAATCCAGCACAAACTTTCTGACAAAATCGGGATTTCGGGTGTTGTCGATAACTTCTGTCCTGCCAAACTTTCAAAAGACAGAAGAGTTCAATTATTATCAGCACTGATTCAATCGTTGATATTTTACATTATACAGACAGAGGACAAAATAGTTAAAGAACTGGATAAAAAAACTCTTTATAATAGAATCTATGGGTACAAAATCTATTTTACAGATATGGGACTACCCTGCATAATGCCAAGCAGTCTGTGCTAAAGTCCCTGACCCCAGAGAAATCAGGGTAGCTACATCAAAGTGATCTTTGCCCCCCCCTCTCCCCCGCATTGTGTGCCCAGCAAGGCCTGCTCCCATCTTCCCTCCAGAACCATGGCGTCTTTCTATCAGCCTGACAATCACACCGCTAATCCTCCCGGGGGTTGCGGCCTTGCCTTCGCAAGTCTGGCCCGACAGCACCGTGTAATGAGCTATTGATTTTGGCACTGCCTCACCGCAGCTTCAATACCTCGACTCGTGTCTTCAGAGGCCGGCGCACATAATCCGTGCTATCAACTGTGTCCCCAGCCTATCCATTACCAAAACCAAGCAGGGAGGTGCATGGAAGCTCAGAAGTACTTGCTGCATTGATCCAGGCAGGAAAGTCCCATGACGTTTGTTTGCGCTGTTTCTATTTTTGGCCTTGGGGGACCAGTTTGGTTAATAATTTCAGAGATGAGATTGGTTAATCGGCGCCTTGTTGCTGCAAATTAGGGAACAGATTTGTCACCATTGGAAATGTTTTAGTTGTCTGAAAGGCATGTATTTCTTAATAGTGTTGGCTGAATACACTGGACAGGTTCAAGAGTGTTTTTACTTGTACGCTTGCCAACCTTAACGCATGTAATGTATCGTAAAATAATGAGAATGAAAATTGTGTACGGTGCTTTGAAAAAGCCTCTTCAGTTTTTTGTTTTCGTGTGTAAGGTCATACTACAATGTCTCAAATGGATTTAAGTCCAGACTTTGTTTACACCACTCCAAAGCTGCGTCTTGGTATATTTGAGTCATTCAGGATTCTTTCCCAAAAGTCTCAGGGATCGTCACAATTTTTTGATAAATATGAGACAGCCATCATGTCCATTTTGGTCAGCAGTGATTTTAGCCTTGGAACTCTTCAATGGAGGCCTATTAAGTCCCATTCTCGTCCTAATTGTCAAATCTTGAGCACTTACCTTAGCTGAATTTTTGTTGAGCTCTCCTGGAAATGTTTCCTACTGTCTTCTCCAGTTGTAGATTATGGCTCTCATATTAAGTTTGTAAAGTCATAGAAATGGCCCTGTAGCTCTTTTCAAATTAATAACTTTGTTTTTCCACTGTTTTTCTTTGTTGTTTTTTTTTAGATGATGAGTTGCATTTTGGGATATTTCAGCCATCGGAGAGGTTCTGTTTCAATGTTTTATTAATATCTCCAAGTCAGGTAATAGTCATGCCTGCTTTTGCCTGGTGAAATTGAGCCCAGCTTTCTAAAAATGTAGTTTAATCACATTTAATGCATGATTGAACATGGGAGGCAATTACTTACCCCCACAGGCTCAGGTTGGTTTGGATAGCTTTTTTCCCCTTAATGAATAAAATAATCATTTGAAAATTGCTTCTTGTATGTACACATGCTATTTTTATCCAGTGGTAATGTTTGTTTGGTGATTTGAAATATTTAAGATTTTTTTCCCATACAATATATGTGTATATGTACAGTCCTAACTTTGCTTGTGAGAAGGAAATATATATCTATTTGGATGGACATATATAAACATGTCACAAAAAAAATAAGCTTCATTGTGTTATTTAACACTTTATGAAAAGATTTATTGAGGCTCTCAGAGAAGCATGCCACAGTTACTGAATGGAAAAGTTTGAGCTTAAACTAAAGGAACTGTAGCATAAACATAAAAGCTTAAAATTAAAGTATGTGTTGACAGCAGTAAGACCTGCATGACGCTCAGTGGTAGAATGCGTTCAGAATCGTCCTTGAACAGAGCTTTCAAGAGATAGTGGGTGTGATTTGATAGGAACATACTTGCTGATGAATGGCCCTGGAGCATGGGCAAGTCATTTCATCTTTTCCCAAAACATTTGCTTACACACCCTGCTAAACACCGTTTGCTGATAGAGCCGATTGCCCCCTCCACATTACAAGAGAAAAGTAATTATGACTCACACAAATATCACTTAAATAAATTAAACTAATCTAATATAACACACTAATGTATTTTGTTAGTGCCATTGGGTGTGTGGAAATGTGTTGTAATTGACTATTAGCTTCTGAGATACTATGCTGCTAGCATCCAACCTAACCGGAACTATACCTGGTGAAATTTCTCAAAACAAAGTAAAAATATAAATAACTAAAATAAAATAATAAAATAATTGCTTCTATGAGGTAAAAGATTTTTCTAAGCATTTCAAGCCAATTTTAGATGTTTTCTTTACCATTTTCTTATAATGATTTGATTGTGGGACCTCACGGTCAACTGTCCTTTGTAAATAAAATCCTGATCAAAGTCTTAACACTGAGAAAAAAGTTACGGGTTACAAGACGTTGCTGTGGAGCCAGGCAAGAACAAAAACATAGCAGGTGAAATGAAAGCATTCTGTTATGCAAGTAAAAGCAGCAGTGTGTGGGGTGGCATATAGGTAAAGCAGGTCCCCCAAGTAATTAGTCTTCAACACAGCTGTTTGTGGTTTGACTCCAAACCTTGAGACTCTCACTGCATCCCTCTGCAGAGAACTGAGACTTCTGAGAGTAAAGCCAGAATATGTTGTTTTTTGTTTTTTCTTCCAGTGGTTCTAATTCTCTTTTGCAAATTGTTGTGGATAAGAGCCATTAAATATATATTATTTAAAGCAGTATTCAGCTGCAGATCAGCTTTGTTGCCCAACATTTTTCCCAAAATAAATCTTCAAATCTCTAAAACGGACTTATTTGTAAGCCAATGGGAAAAAAAGAAACAAAAAAGAAAGGTGAAGCCATCAGCTTTCCTTGTGAAATATTAACTTATCAATAGCTGTGTTTCCATTGGACATATAATTGGGCAGTTTGGCATTTCAAAACTAACTCTGCCCAATAGAAACACAGCAACTTCAAAAAACTAATTCATCCATAAAAGGTTTTGCCGCTAGGATGAGGCTTTTTAAAATTTTCATCTGTATCAAACTTCGGTTGTTTTACAAAACTGCAATGGAAACAATTCCAAGGCATCACACGAGTCATATGGTCAATAACAGGATGTTACACCTGGTGCAAAATCACGGAGAAAAAGACGTCAGAAAGTTGATGCAGTCTGGTGGCAAGGCATGTTTTTTAATGACATATCAAGTGAATTATTCACTTGTGATTTTAAGTGCATTTCTAATATAATGGAAACAATGCAACTGCAAAATAAATAAATAAATAAATAAATGTGTTTGTTTTTTGGGTTTATATTAGTGGAATACTGCCAAAGATTTGTACACATTTATAATGTAAACGCAGCCACTGTCTGAAGACGCTATGGTGCTTTTTAAGTTTAACGTCTTACTTCCAGAGTTAAAGCAAACATCTTGCTTCCAGTTTGACTCAGGTTGACTACCATCACCACCTACTCAGAATTTTTCCAGTCCTTCTTTGCACAAAACTTGACAAGGAAAAGTTTGAGAGATGAGAGTGAGTGGGGGTGGGGTTGGGGGTGGGAGGGGCTGTAAGCACATAAAGAACTGCTGAGTGCCAGAGAGGAAACTGGAAAGAAACAGCATCATAAAGCACCTGCCACAGAGCGCTGTGAGGGAGAGGGCTTTGCTCCAGCAGAACCCCTGCAGCAAACAAACGGTGTGGTTGGAGACCAGAACGGTCCCGAGCTGAAACATGTCATGTCGTTGGCTGTATCCACAAAAACGCCCAGAGCAATAAAACCTTAGGTGAAAGCAGTGGCAGCAGGTGTATGGAAATCTGGCATTAGTTTAGTATCGAAAGACGGTAATTGTAGATCACCAATAAAACCCAGACTCCGAATAATTATCCAGAGATCAAATTATGTGATGACTGGGGTAAACAAGCCAATTCTATTCACAGAGCACCAAACACCACTGCTTTGTGTCATGAGTTCTGATGTACCAGCAGCTACAACTATAAAGAATAGTGAGGCATTCTGGACCATTACACTGTAAACAAACCGCAGCATTGCTGAAGGGAAAGTGAAGAAATAATTGTGACAAACATAAGACCCAAGTTAGTGAGTTGTGACAACCAATACAATATTCTTTTTTTTTCTTTTCATTTTCACCCATGAATGGGTCTACTTCAGGTTTGACTCCCTTTATTGTACAGCAATGATTGATGGTTATGTTGTCAATGTCAGATGTCAGATTAATTGTTATACTGAGAACCAATGTCAAACAGTGTGCATACTAGTAGAAAAAGGTATCAAAGTGATAAGTAGCTTGTTGAAATTAAGTTTTATAAATACATATGTTTGCCATTATCTTTAGAATCTTTTCTGTTTCAAAAATCAGTACAAGTTCTTATGTATCAAATGTTCATGGTTCTTTAAAGGTATTATCCAAACAATGCCAACCTTCACAGATCAATTAACTTCTTCAAAAGGGATAACTCTGAGCTCTGATATTGAAAATATAACTTTAGGGAATTACCTGAAGCTAAAATAATTTCCCACACGGCTTTAGAGTCATGTTTTCAATGGACCAATTTCATCTAGTTACCTGTTGAGACAATACTACTTTGTGCAACACTTTCTGACTGTTCAAGATTTCAAAAGTCACCTGTTTTCACTCTAACTCGTTTCATCTTTATGGAAGATATGAACATTTCCAGAATATTAAAATAACACATCCAAATTAGAGATCTGGTTAGATTTTATAATTTTTGCAGTAATGCAGAAAATTAGTCATACCTGTGATAAAGCACACAAGAATGGCACAAGGTTGTTTTCAGTATGACTTATACATGTTTAAATTCATAAAGCAAAATGTTGCTCTCAGAAAAAGCAACATTTTTATTTATATATCTACTTATTAATTTGAACAGAGTTCCATGCTCCATTGGATCCAGCCTTTGTCTCCACAAGCTTGGACCTCTAATTGTACAGCATTTGCCACGGTAGAGTATCATAGAGTGTACAGCTGGTGACAAGTTGTTTACTCCACTAATTGCGGCACAGTTTGTACCGGGTTTCTGATTAGGACCTTCGAAGTGGAATAGAAAGTCATGGGGTTCCTTGTGGGTAGTGAATAAAAGCAAAAAAAAAAAAAAGAAAAGAAAACCCTCAATGCCTCAATGACACAATGTACTAGACGTTGGATTTCAAACCGCTAAGAAAAATCAAACTCAGCCTAAACATAAAACTGCGTGACACATAAGAGACAAAAATGAAGAAACTCACAGAAGTCACCATAAATCTATCGAACATGATCCTGATTCAAAAACAGTGTCTGGTCTTAAATGGCCACAAGTCAAAGGGAAGATTTTAGTTGTGAGTACAATACACCTATATCTTTCTTCTTCCCTTCAGTCACGACAGCAGTTAGTTTGGTGTAGCACAATAAAATCAGCAGGTCCTTTATATTTGGGATTTGTCAACCTTTGCTTTCACCTCAGTTATTACAGGAGTTTGTTGCTTGTTTCGCCCAAAGCTGGAAAGTTGTCAGTTTAGGACGTAACTTCTAGACTCTTGTTTTAGTAACACATCTCCCTTACATAATTTAGACATAAAGCATTCTCTGATATTAGAAATTAATGTTAGGTTTCTCAACTTACCTCCCTCCACTCTTTGGTTCCCACACCTTGCACATATAACACAACCACTGGAAGAGAAGCAGAAAGAAGAGAGAGGTGAAAATGGGGATTAAAATAAAAACTGTTCCAGCTGTAGCAAAAAAGCCCATTTGGTTTCTGTATGTTGGCACCTGGAGCACCTGCAGATATCAAAACATTGCCTCTCAATTCCAGTTTCATTACATTCGTTGTTGCTGGGGGTGAGTAAACAATTCTTTATTAAAAGCCAAACCAGCACCCTTTAAGGAAATTAGTTTTCTTACCTCCTACCGAAGACATTTGTGGTAAATATTTGAACATACTGGATCCTAAATTATTAAACTACAGGCGAACCAGCAGAACAGAGCAGAATTAATAAAACTTCTTCACAGATATGCTGCTACCTAATAATTTGAATAAATTCAAAAATAAGTGGGAACCGTTTGGACAAAACAAAACATGACCAGGATGTAAACTAGAGGAAACAGGAAGAAGATCCGTACCTGCTCATTTATTTATTTATTTATATGTTGCTTTGCTTTGTCTTCACTAACAATGTTAAGCGCTAATGAATCTTTTATGTCTGAAAGTCGTTTTTTTCCCCCTTAACCACATCTCTATGGAAATTGCATTTGTGGAGTGAGAAGTGTGGGTCAGTACTGAGGTCATCAGGAAATCAAAAAAATCTGTCAATGTTAAACAGCTCATTCTGTTTTTGACTCTTGTTTGAGCCTCTGGTACCTCTGGTACAGCTGAATCAAATGGAATCGACTTTTACCAAGTCCTGCTAAGGTTCTAATGTGATCTTCTGTGATTCAAGTTGAGAGTCCTGATTGAAAAAGAAATAAAAGAACTTTCAAAGGTTCTAAGATTTATAACAAAGAAGCAGTGGTAGGCACACTTTCACTAACACTGGTAACAATGGAGCAATTTTTTTTGTTTCATGTGTTTGCTAACTTGTGAAGCGGTTAGCACACTTAGCGCTCCCTATTTTTATTTTTTATTTTTCAGATATATTCTAAAGCACAAATTTACTTTTTTAGTTATGTAGGCTTTTAGTAGAACATTCAAAATCTCACTTTTTTCCTCAATAACTTTATTTCAGACAAACACACAAGGAAAAAAAACAATCAAACACAGACAGTAAAGAGCAGATATGAAGATTTCGGGGATTATAAAACATGTAAATTATCATCTCAGTATCACATTGGTGCTTGAGGTTTGTATTGTTTCAAGGGCAGATTTAATTTGGGTTGAAATTAGCGCTTTAGCATTTACTTCCATTAAATGCCATGTCACTGCAGTGACATGGCATTTGTGAGTTAGGATTAGTGGGTACTAACATTTCAATTCGCAGTACCATTGGTCTAGCAAAATATAATGAAAAAAATGTTGCTTACTTTTTTTTTGCTAAAGTTTATGCATGATTTAAGACCATCTAAGTGAAGAACTTAAACAAACAAACAAAAAAAAACATTCATTAAAAGCTTTAATGTGATGTGCATTCATCCTGGCCAAGTAATGTCATTTGTGTCTAGACACCATCAGCCACTTTGTGCCTGTTTGAAGTTTGGACATTAGCTCTAATGAACTTTAGATCGTCTAAATTAGAAGGTGATTAAAACCACATTTTAGTGTCCTAATGAGCAATTAAGAGAGGAGCAGTAAGAAAGATAAGGGGGGCAGGCAGTGGATCTTTTTGGCCGGTGCTTTCACAAGAAAACAATCTTTTCTTTGTCACATTGGTAACCATGTGGGAAGCTGCAGATTAAATTGGTTTTGTAAATCTGATTAGTACAGGCCAATCAGTTCGTGACTTGCATGTTCATATTTTAATTGAACAAAGGGGAAGATAAGTAAAACCAAATGAAAGGTGTAGTCTGTCAATTTCCTACCCTCTAACAAACTACAAAATGTAAAAGCATGGTGCATCAAGAGTTTGGGGCAGTAGAGGCTGAAGGAAGACTCACATTCATTTGAGTTAAGGTCTAGAGGACCTAACTGACTGCGCAAACTGCACTCAGAAAAACCCCAGGCCACAATCTGAAAACTCAGAACCTCCTTGCTCCAAGGCAACAGTGGCAGCAACTGTGTCATCACGCGGCCTCAGGCAGAACGTCTTAATGTCATTCCAGTGTTGATGGCCAAGTTTGACAGCAGCAGTCTGCCCTCTTTATTGGGCAGACTGAGTTGGACCTTTTGTCTCTGGAACTGCCTCAGTTCTTTCTGCCTCAGTTCAGCAACTTTGAATCTCTGAAGGTCTTGTTCCATCACATCCCAATGCAAAGTACTGTAATGGATTGAGCAGACATCAATAGACCACTACAGTGTGATAATAAAACATTTTGGCTCTGGCAACAATATTAATGGAGTGAATACACATGTAAGTTTGTGACTAAACACAAACTTAAATGTTTCTCACTTGGTCCAAAGTGAGCCCAGAAAATATCCTCGACGCCATTACAACACCAGCAGCATGGACCATGGAGTTAAGCCTGGATAGACGGCCGCTAAGCGAACAGAAGCATTTTGGAAGTCCAAGTTAAGCAATGTGAAGCGGAGGCAGATTTCATCTGAAGTAAGAGTGCAGTTCTAAAGGTGCTGGCTGTCAGGAATCTCTCTAAAACACACCCCTCACATAGCAATTAGGTAAGTGAGGGTGGTCACATCCCACCTAATCTAGTGATTAGCTGTCAGGCGAGAGATAAGGCAAAGTAAGCCAGAAACCTAATTCTTGAACCCTGGAGAAAAGGCCACGGCAACTCTGCCGTATCAAATCGAAGGAAATCTAGTGCAGCCGACAGGTTTTTTTCCCCACTGGAATTCCCACAATTGGTTTAAGTCGTGAAATTGTGTAGTAATACAATACAGCTGACATATTTAAGAAAGTAATAACTCAACAACTTATTTAATTGCCCAAAAGCTCAATAGTGAAATGTCAACCACATTTCTATTTTTTGCAATAAGTGAGTCATGCACTTGCTTTTTTTTTTTTTTCTTTTTTTTTTTTTTGACTTCCAATGTAATTTCTATTCATAACTCTTTATATTTTTACAAAGACAGAGAATTTAATTAAGAAGTAAAGAATTTAAGTATAACAGGAAACTGGCTAAATACAAACTGGCTGTAAAATGTAACTATAAATCTCAAAAGTATCAGAACATTTTTTTTACTGCATAAAAGTAGAAAAGGAAAAGAATCTTAAGCCATAAAGCACCACTTTGTTTTCAGTCAGTTGTGCTCTGCATGGAAGAAGAAAACTGGTCCAGAAAAAAAATCATCTGCTGTTGTATTTTGTCGTGGCACTTGCAAAAATTGATTCCTCTGTCAAAACATCCATGCTGATCCGTTCATGCGAGGTCAGGTTGTGGAGACAAGTCAAGGTGGGAAACCCAGACATCTTTCTCCCTAGCAACGCTCTCCTAGCAACTACTCCTGAGGGGATTCCACTGCACTTCTCGTAGCGGTGGGTAACAGCACAACATTTAAAATATACAAAACATACAAACAGTCAATGTAGTATATCTTAGAGCAGGGGTGATCAAGTCCAGTCCTCAAGAGCTGCCATCCTGCAGCTTTCAGATGCTTCCCTGCTCCAAATGAACAGACGTTAGCAGGTCTGTTCAGAGCTGATCCTGGTCCGTCGGAGTGAGGATGCATCTAAAAGTTACAGGACAGAGGCTCTCGAGGACTGGATTTGATCACCCCTGTTATAGTGTATTATTAGTATTAGTAGCAGTATTTTATGACTTCTTTTTTTATGATTAAGTATTTTAATTTCCATAAATGATTATGGGTTTGTGATACAGTAGAAAGCGGAATGGGTAAAATAACACACTAATAGACTCATGGTTGAATACTGTAAAAAAACACCTTAAAACCAGTTAATGTCTTTGCCGTTGAGTTTATGTGTATGTTTATTCAAAAATTTAGCAGCAAAAATGCTTTTGAATCAAAAATGTTGCCTATTTTGTCAATATGTAGTTTGGTTAAAATGCAATTAATTGAATTGCCCTGATTCAATATATTTTTATCAAGTTTCACCTCTAGTTATACACAAACTTATTTTAAAATCAAAATATGTTGTGCACCTGAGTGGATACATAAAAAAAATGATAATAAAAAACAGGAGAAAGTGAATGAGGTCATCATAATTCATGCATGAATTGATTGCTAATTTATAAAATGTCCTCATGCAGTTTTTAATAATTAATTTTTTTGGATAACTTTTTTTCAGGCTACATTCACATCATGCATATAGATGATTATCCTCATTATAATGTAGGGGTATTCTAAAGCTTGAGCTCCATCTCCTATTACTGTTATAACCACTGGACTGGTAATCTGTTTTTTTAAGTTGTCATGGTTATTAAGTAGAGTGAGTGATGGATAGAGGTCTGTGAATCTGTGATTCAACTGGTGATGCTCACTCGTTCCTCAGATCTCATTAGGAGACCTCAAAGGTAATTAGAGACCAGTGACCTTTATCCAAAGGGTTTGTCACAGGCCTTGCCTTTAATTCACTGATTTATTTACTCATATTTGACCAGCTAGACATAAAATCTGTTAACCAACAAGTAAAAAAGAAGAAAAATGAAACAGTATAGATTTTAATATTTTTGCCTCCCACCATCCTTTACATTCACATTCTTAAAACAACTTAAGTCATTACATTTAGTTTTAATTTCAACCTTAACCTTAGTCATCTGGTATAAATTCACCAATCAGGCTTAAGCATTGACAGGTGAAGTGAATAACAATGATTATCTCTTCATAATGGAAAGTATTAGCAGATGAAATATTTCAGGCTGTGAGTTGACATTATGTTCTAAAAGTAGAGAAAAGGTGGAGCGTAAAGATTTTAACAGGAGGGAGAAACTTTGAAACTCTTCTGGGGTTGTTTACAGTCTCCATTGTAAATGTGCTCAAATCTTTGTTGATGTAATAAGTCATAAAAAAAAAAAAACATGCCGCACCATCATCCTCCCACCACTTCCTGTTGTCTTCTTTGATGTAAAACCTGAAGTAAAGAGCAATAAAGATTACTGTG